TAATAATAATAAAAAGGCCCTGACATGTCAGGCATTACTGATTGCCTGGTGAATAAATCTATTCCCTACATATTCACATGCTTACTTGTTGGAGTCTCTGTCATGCCTCAATCCTATTTCACCTCTCTCAAAACTAGTTTACTGTCTATACTCCCCTTTCCTAATAAAATAAAGACAAACAGATTGAAAAAATAACAAAAGATTAAATAAAGCATTGTGCCATAATTAATTGACACACACTGAGACCACAGAATAAAGACAAGACCAAATTTAGTGCTGAGAACATGCTTTATTGAATCATTAATACTCAAGGAGGTTGCATATATAGATAATACTACAATTCTACATAAAATCAAACCAAAGTGCAGGGCATTTAGGTACTAAACCATTTCTTTCCCATTGCACAGCAGGTGGAGTTGCTGTGGCACACTTTCTTGATGTTTGCCCAACAACTGACAAGGTGAATTCTAAAGCTAACACACAAACACACAATGCTTCAAAGCAATCCTCCAAGAGGAGGCTCTGCTTCTGCAAGGAAGTACAAGATATACTTTCCTTATTGGCCAGGAGATGTTAATTTTGAAAGTTTATTCAAGCAGTCCCTTGCCAGAAACAGAGCACATTAAAAATGTTTGCTCATAAAGTGCAGGCCGCTCGCACATTGAGCTTGTCATTAAAATGGTGGTATGACATAGTCAGTCTAAACACAAGGCCTAGTCGCCCTGCTTGCATGAGGGTAAAACGCAAACAGCACTCAAGGCCTTACGTTCAAGTAACAATGCATAAGAGTATGCTTATAATATCACTGCACGTGTAAACATGCAGGTATAACTTAGTCTCTTAGATTTAGTGTTAACTTCAACAGGGAGCCTTCTCTACCTGTTGAGGCAATCTTAAGACTTCAACTTATTGTTGAGGCACAGAGTTTAGTTTCAGGTTTATCAAGGTATTCGTTCCATGTGAAACTTTCTCCTGATAAACATTTAGTTCCATTTGTTTCAGTTAATATTGTTATAAATAACAATTCATACATTTTCCATAACCGTTAAATTCGGCTATATACATTATGTACATGTCACAGAAAAATGGATCAAAATCCTAAGTCATAATTATCCAATATGGCATATTTTATAATAACTTTAGACTTTAGTCTAGATTGGCATAAATGAATGTCAAGTTTGGTATAAAAATAGTTTATATTTACAGGAACAGATATCCAGGTATTTATCAAGACTTTTTCTCCGTTCATTTAATAAATACAAAAGTCGCTTCATAAAGGAAGGGGTGGGGATAGAAATTATGGCTTTACTTTGATCGAATGCTGATGGTAACAGTTGCCATGTCAGATCCATGCTCATTGGACAGTTTGAGTGTGTATGTCCCAGCATCACTCTCTTTCACACCAGTGATGATGAGTGTGGTTAGGTCCTCTGTTGTCTCGATATGGAACCTACTGCTTTCTTCCTCGCCAGGCAGTTTCTTTCCACCACGTGACCACTCAATACGAGGTGCTGGCTCTCCAGAGAAAGCACAGGCCACTGTTAGAACCTTTCCAGTTTCGATGCTGATATCTTCGGGAAGAGCTTCAATTCTTGGAGCCAAGCCTATGAAATAAATGTATTTAAAATTATATTCATCCATATCACAACATTATTAAAAAAATTGGTATGCATGATTGGTTTTAATCAAATTGATCCTTACCTTGAGCACTGTGGAGGGCTGCTCTAACTGAAGATTCTTCAACATGTGAATGACTTGACATTATACTACTTGAGCTCACTGCATATACTGACTCCGATGTCATAGAGGACATGCTAGACATTGACATAGTTTCAAATTTCATCTCAGCCATTGAAGAACTGCTGAAGGATGCCTCTTGCATTGTGCTCTCCATTTGGATGGATTTAGAAGAAAAGCTTTCATGCACACTGCTAACAGCTGCACTGTCCCTTTTAAGAATCATTTCGCTTCCCCCACGTATTTGGGATGACATGGATTCTGGGGGGGGAAAATAAATAAATAAATAAATAAATAAAGCTTTTACATAAAGCACTGGCACTGAGAAGAATGGACATCAAGATTTTAAATGGATGAGAATTTATGCAAAAGGACATGTACCTTGAACTGCCATTTGTGTAGCCACGAATGCAGTTACTTTTGTGTAGATTGCTTGGAACACTTGACCAACAAAAGAGAATGATGTTCTTGACACTGCTCCTCCTTCACTTATGATTTCACAGGAGTATTCCCCTTGGTCACTCTCTGAGACATCAGATATATAGAGACAGCAAGTTCCATCTGCAGATGAATGAATCTGAAACCGACTACTTTGACTCAGTTTTCTGCTATCCTTGTACCACACAACTTCTCTTACTGAGCTCTCTGCAACAAAGATCATCTTAATTTTGTCTTCATAAGCTTCAGCTTTGAGTTGCTGAATGATCTTTGGTGGTGCTTCCTTTGAGGGGGTTGGGGATTTCACTGTAAGTGGAGATTTAACTCTTTTAGGTGACATGATCGGCTCAGGAGATTTGACTGTTGGTGGGGATTTGACTCTCTGAGGTTCAGGAGACTTAAGTCCTGTAGGGGATTTAACTCTCAGAGGGGATGCAACCGGCTCAGGAGACTTAATTGGAGGTGGGGATTTTACCCTGGGAGGTGAAGCTATAGGCTCAGGAGACTTCAGAGCTGTTGGAGACTTTACTCTTTGAGGGGTGGTTGGTTCAGGAGACTTAATAGGAGGTGGAGACTTTACCCTCTGAAGAGAGGCAGCTGGCTCTGGTGACTTCAATTTCAATGGGGATTTGACACCCTCTGGAGATTTAATTCGAGGTTCAGGAGATTTAACACCAGTGGGTTCTGGTGATTTAATTTGGGGTTCTGGAGACTTCACTGAGGGAACAGGAGACTTTACCGAAGGCTCTGGAGACTTTACCGATGGCACTGGTGATTTCACAGAGGGCTCTGGGGACTTTACTGATGGCACTGGTGATTTCACAGAGGGCTCTGGGGACTTTACCGATGGCACTGGTGATTTCACAGAGGGCTCTGGGGACTTTACTGATGGCACTGGGGATTTCACAGAGGGCTCTGGAGACTTTACTGATGGCACTGGAGATGCAACTGATGGCTCTGGAGATTTAACTGATGGCACTGGAGATGTCACTGAGGGTTCTGGTGGCTTCACTTGTGTAAGCATACCTTCCTCTTTAATTATTTGTTTATGAATAGTTAAGGTAAACCTTGCCTCTTGCTTTCCTTCTGAATTTTCTACAACTACAGTGTAAGTGCCTTCATCTGAATACACAACTGATGAAATTTCAAATGTAGACTTATATTGTGTTGTAGACACATGGATACGGTGTGAAGAGACAATTGTTCTTCCCTCATGCATCCATGTGACACTTGGTGCTGGCTCTCCATCAATATCACAGACAAATCGTGCAGAGTCACCCTCAGATACAGTCAGAGACTGTGGTTTTGTGAGTATTTTGGCTGAAAGAGTAGCTTTCACTTTCTTTACTGAAACTTCAGATGTTGTTTCTGATTCTTTTATCTTTGATGTTGTATGCCTTTCAGATGATGAATATGAAGCTGATGATAGGTATTCAGCGGATGCATATCTAATTGGAGATGATGCAAGCTTCTGCGATTCATACTTTTCAAAGGCAGAAACTTCACGTCTTTCTGTCAATTTAGTTTTGGTTTCTTTGATCTCCAAGTGAGTTCTTGAGGCAGAGGAAGCTCTGATTGTTGTTGAATGATAACAATCAGTTTTTGTTATATCAGGTACAAATGGTGTTGGAGCCTCTTCATCTCTACGTCTTGAAGAGTACGTAGTAAATGCTCCACCTGAAACATCAAGAGCTCCATAGTCTGATGCCTCACCCTTTGAATTTGTGCAGACGACACGGTATGTGCCACTGTCCTCTTCCTGACAGTCATTAATCTGAAGAGACAGGACTCCACTCATATTTGTGAACTGGTATTTGCTGCTCTCTTGTATTTGTTGTCCATTATGGAACCACTGGATATCAGCATCTGGCTTTGATTGAACATTCAATGTGAATTTAGTGTTTTGTCCACATGGTACACGGTGAGAACGCATTCTTACTGTGATACGTGGAGTATGGTCAAGACTGAAGGGCTGTTGTGTCACAACCTGGTACTTGCGCTCAGATTTGAGAGCTGCTTTTCTTGCTTCATATCTAGACATGATGTCAAATCTTGCAGACCTTTCAAATCTAGAGGAGGATCTGGAAGATCTTCTCTCAGTTGACACAGGACTTGGTGATCGAGGACGTGTCCTCTCAGGGGTGGGTGATCTTCTTTCAATAATTTCAACTTCAGCCTCTGTTGAGATGCGGGCACGAGGTTTTCTGATGAGTTCAGAGACAGGACGCATCAGTTCAATGTATGTTGGAGACAATGATCTCCTCCTCCTCATGAAATATGAAATGGGAGGAGGAGAGCCCCGAGCTTGCTCAGTTGTTGTTACATGTTTTGTCTCTACGCGTCTCACTTCAGCTTTGTGAACAGGTCTGAGTGAAGCATGATGCAGTGCAGACAGCTCAAAGCGGACGGGGCTTCCACTGGGTGGAGAGGCAGAGAAGCCAAGTTCAAGTTCTTCTTCAAGCTCTTGCCTTTCTTTTTCAGTTCTCTTCATTGTCAGATAGTCCTCACCCTCGAGGAGCTCCTCATCTGAAAGATATCCTAGTGAGCGTCTTCTCAGTCTGAATGATGCCTCTGACTCAGGGGATGGTGATCTTCTTGCTGGTCGAACAATTTCTAAATCATCTAGTGTAAGTTTAGGAATGCGCCACTTTGGTCTGTACTGGTCAGTTATTCTAGGCAGTGGCATGACATAAAATTGCTCCCATCTGGAAAGACGAATACGCCTCTGTCTCTTCTGGACAATTCTTTCCATTCTCTCAGGAATCTCATACTGGTCACGTAGTTTCTTGTACCATTTCATGTCAGATAGGGGCACAAAGTGTTTGATCAACTTATCTTCACTGAGAACAGTTGGATCATATGCACGAGCTTCAGGGATTTCATAAGGCATACGTATCTTCTTCTCTTCCTCTTTTATTTTCTTTAGTTCTTGATCCTCTTTAATAGAGATGTCAAACTCACCCTGCACATTTTTGGTGCTGAATGCAGGTTTATATAATTCAGCAGCTTCATTCAAAGCTTCCTGTGCTACAGGGTTAAGTGTAACAACCTCTGCCGTTGAGAACTGTTGCGCCATTTTCAGTGTCTTTTCTATTTGGTTCCTTACATACGTCTGCCTCTCTTCCTCACTCTTGAACTCCCTCCTTGTGTATGTTAGGCGTTCAACTTTGAGAGAAGCTTGACAACTTGCTGATCCATCTGTATTTGTTGCAGTGACTCTGTATGTGCCTGAATCCTCTATGAGGGTTTCTCTGATATGTAGAACATGATGTTCTACATCCTCTTGAATTACTTCAACTTGTGGTCTGAACTCAAGAGGTTTCCCATTTTTCTCCCATTTCAGAGTTGGAGCAGGGGTTCCTGATACTCTTAAGTCAAAGCGGACGCTTTGACCCTCAACACACTCAATATTAGCTAAGAGACGTTTGAACATTGGTCTCATATTGTCCTCAGCAACAACATGTGGTGTTACAGTGAGACGGGCCTTGCAACTGTCCTCACCAAACTTGTTGTTTGCTACAACAGTGTATTCAGCATCATCACTGAGATCAACATTGTGTATCATGAGTTGATAAAGACCCTTGTCACTTGTGAATGTGTATTTTGTAGGATCTGGTTTGATCCTGTGCCCGGCCTTTAACCATGTTACACTTGGCTCTGGATGGACTGTAATTGTTACACCAAAGCGCACATCTTCACCAATGTATGCTGCACGGTTGTACAATGGCAAAGTAAACTCTGGAGGCCTCTGCAAAATTTTTGTTTTGTCAATTCTACGCCTTGGTTTCTTGAGCGAGCGTCCCAGATAGTATTCTCGGTAGGACCTAACTGTCTCAACAAACAACTCAGCATATGCACTATCCTCCCTATCTTCACAGACAACCTTGCATCTATAAAATCCATCGTCACATTCTTCAATGTCTTTAACATAGATGCTAGCAACTCCATTAGCATAACTGATTTCATATTTGTGGCTTGCAGTCAGTTTGCGGGAACCAAAGTACCAGGTCACTTCGGTGTTTCTGTTGTAGTTCTCAATGTAGCACACAAACCTGATATGTCCTCCCTCTTCAGCAGAGCAATGCATGACAGGACCCGCTCTCAAGCCTTGTTCAGGATGTCCAACTTTCACTCTGCCAATAGAAACATTTCTCTGGTTTCTGTAGCCACCACCATAGGCAACACGTGCTGCTGAAATAACAGTGCTCCATTCCTTTTTCACCAGTGATTGGTAGTATCTTCTGTGTCTCAAAGTCTTGATGACCTTTGAACTAACATGTTCCAATTTCATCTTGAGCCAAGGGTGCTCCAAAGCTTCAGAGGCAGTCATACGTAGCTTGCGGTCTTTAGTCAACAGTCTGTCGACAAAGTCCATACCTTCAAGGCTGGTCTCTTTAAAGGCTTCACTGTCAAACACATACTCTGCACTTGAAATGTGCTCAACCATTTTCTGGTGTGATTCAGCAGCAAATGGATTAAGTCCACTAAGGAGGACATATGCAAGAACACCTACAGACCACATGTCAGTGGCAGTGGTGACAAAATCACTGTTGTGGATTTCAGGTGCACAGTACTCAGGGGCAGTAAACTGAATCCTGATGTTTTCTCCAGGTGTAAGCAACCTTGCTTGACCCATATCAATGATCTTGATTGTATTGCTCTTCCTTGTAGAATAAACAATGTTATCAGGTCTGATATCAAAATGACAGTAGTTGTGACTGTGCAAGAACTTAAGGGCTCCACACACTTGTCTCATATATCGAACAATTTCTTGCTCTGTGAGGTCAAAATTAGTACCAAGACGCTCAAAGATGTCCATACCAGATATGAATTCATAGATAAGGACGTATTCTTCCAGGCTATCAAAGGATTCATGAAGATAAACAATGTTTTTATGTCTTGCAATATTGAGTGTCTCAATTTCTCTTGCAACCAGTTCTCGATCAGCACCTTTAACTTTGATGAATTTTGCCAAGAATGTCTTCTTGGAGCTAATTTCCACACAGCGATGTACAATTCCAAACTGTCCATTTCGTGCAAGTTCCTCAGAGACTGTGTACAGAGATGGCAAAAGTTTGACTTTTGAATGTGGTGCCTCCTCCTTTGTAATCTCTCTTGTATCATCCACTTCCTCATCATAGTTTCGAATTGCTAACTTGTCTTCTTTTGTTGTCACAGGATCAGTTGGCACAGATGGACCACTCAAGCCGAAATGGTTTTCTGCAATCACACGGAACTGGTATTTTGTTTTGCCAAAGAGACTCATCAAGGTGTATTGGGTTTCAGATGTCTGAGCAACACGAATCCATCTGTCTCCAGTGGTAGGGCACTTTTCTATAATGTAATTGATAATTTCACTTCCACCATCATTTCCAGGACTCCAAGTGAGGGTGAGTGTATCTCTGCCAATATCACTGACTTTAACATCTTTTGGTGGATCAGGGACATCAGCAACAGCAAGTTCAACTGTCTGTTTATCCACACCAAATCGATTTTTGGCACAAATTATGTAGTAGCCAGAATCCTTCCTTTGTACTCCCTTTAGGAACACCAGGGAGGTGAAAGATCTTGTGATAATTACTTGATGGTAAGCTGTATTATTAATCATCTCTTGTCCCTTTTGCCAAGTCACAACAGGATCAGGTTTGCCACTAATGGGAATCTTGATGGTAACCACTTCACCACGAATGGCATGAACAGCTCCCATGCCTTGGAGATGTAATGGCAAGTGAATCTTGGCAGGAACTAGAAAATAAAAAAATAAAAAAAACAATCATAAGACAAAAGAGAAGTGCTGCAGGATTATAACACAGCAGTGCTGCAGGATTAAAAAATATACAGATATTGGTTTTAGAAAAGTGCTCAGGTTGAATAGACTTTGTTCAAAACAAACAATTAGAAATACTTACCCTCAACCTCCAGGTTCACACTTTTTGAGATTGATCCAAGCTGATTAGTAGCTCTAATTTGGTAAACAGCTGCATCATTCTCATCAGCATTGCTGATAACAATTTGGAAGTAACCTCCCTTGAATTCTTGGACCTTTGTTTTCTCTCCATCAGGTAAAATTTCTTTGCCGTTCTTGTACCATTTAACCACTGGCATGGGATGTCCGATAACCTTTGTGACAAATGTTGCAGTTGCCCTGTATTTGACACACATGTCTCTCAATTCTTCCTTGAAGAATGGGGCACGGAGAGCTGTATCTGATTTTGGAATGACTGGTTCTGAAATCTCACTCCAGTCACTCTCTCCACCAATATTTTCACATTTGACACGGAATTCATATTCAAAACCTTCAAGAAGGCCTTTAACAGTGTAAGATGTCTCATGGATTTCTTCTGTAGTAACTGCAATCCATTTGTTCTGTTTTTTCTCTCTTTTTTCAAGGTAATAGTTCTTAATTTTGGCACCTCCATCACTGGTTGGTGCTTTCCAAGAAACAACACATGAATCATTTGTTACAGAAGAAACAAATGGCTTTTGTGGGACTCCAGGTTTCTCTGTTTTAGGAAATAAAGAGGAATACATTTGATAGATAAATTAATAAATAGATTTGACAATTTATATTTTGTTTATTTATTTAAAAAAAATATATATATTTTTAGACTGTTCAAGAGCACTAATCAATGAAACTTACCAAATGGACTCTTGATAATGACAACAGATGGAATCTCAAGAGGTTCACTTATTCCATACTGATTCTGTGCAGAAACCCGGAAGTAATATCCAGCACTCTCAATAAGGTTTGGAACACGGCATGTGGTTCCTGAGATAGCTGATGACACAAGATGCCATTGTTCACACTCTTTTGCTTCACTTTTCTCTACAATGTAATTCGTGATCATTGATCCACCATCATCCTTGGGTGGTTTCCAGCTAATGATCACAGAACTCTTCAAGAGAGCATCAACAACAATTGGTCCTTCAGGTATTACAGGTTTATCTGGAAAGACAGGGACAGTATTTTTTACATTTTCCAACATATTTTCATGGAAATCATGTCTATTGCCAGTAAGGTATTTATCTTTTATTAAAAACAGGTTTCAATTTACCTTGGATTTCAACACGGAGAACAGTATCCACTGTGCCAAATTTGTTGCTCATTTGCACTTTATATCTTCCAGCATTTGTCTTACGCTGGACATTTCTGATAACTAAATGAGTGTAACTTTCTGTGTTTTCAATTATGACATTCTCAGATGGATTGAGAGGCTTCTTGCCATAAAACCACATGATTTGTGGAATAGGGCGACCAATGTAAACGACATGGAGACGTAGGCTTGTTCCACAACCTGCATAGTATTTCTCCTTCAATGGGAATCCAGGATGGAATTGTGGTGCAGCCTGCAACAGGAGCTTGCCACTGGTCTCAATTTCACCTGCCTCATTGATAGCTCTGCATGTGTACAAGCCTTCATCTTCTTGCTCATCTGTGAATACTGTTAGAGAGTGATTTCGTCCATCAGAGCTCATCTTGTACTTTCGGCTCTGGATCAACTCCTTTCCATATCTATACCATTTGATTTCAGGAAGAGGTCTTCCAATAATTTGGCATGCCATTGTTCCAGATTCTCCTAGTTTAGTGGTAATTTCTTTGATTTCCTCTTTCAGGCATGGAGCCTCTCCGACTAGAGGATAAATTGAACAAGTTATTCACTTTGCATACTTTGTGAATGTCTGTGTCAGAAAAAAATCAAAGTAACATTTTATTAACTTACCACTCAGTTTGGTTTTAATGCCCATTGCTGTTCTTCTTGGTCTACTTAGTCCAGCTTCATTTTCAGCAAGCACTCTGAACTCGTACTCTGTAGCTTCCATGAGTCCTCCCATGGTAAACTGTCTGTCCTTTGAACGCTCTTTGTTGCATTTCTTCCAGGCACTTTCACCTGCTTGCCTGTATTCAATCCAGTACCCAAGGATCTCTTTTCCACCATCAGATTCAGGACGTAACCAATGAATGGTTATGCTGTCCTTGGTTATAGAGATGATATCAAACTCACCGGGTTGGCCTGGCTTATCTGTTGAAAACAGAGATTAGTTTAAGCATGTAAAAGTACTTTGTATACTTTTTCTTAAGGCAAATTATTAACTTGTTTGGAAGGGAGAGGGGGAGGGTTACATACCAAATGGATCTTTGCACACAACTGACTCGGATACAGGTCCAGGCTCACTTTGACCAACATCATTTTGAGCAATCACACGGAACTGGTACTCTGCATCAGGGATGAGACCAGTGAGAGTATACATTGTCGTTGTGATATGAGTCTTGTTATGACGCACCCACTTCTCAGTGGAAACCTCTCTTCTCTCAACATAGTATCCAGTTACACGAGATCCACCATCATCCTTTGGCCTTGACCAGGATAGGCCAACCGTGGTCTTTGTAACATCCATGATTTCTGGAGGGAAACTAGGAGGTTCTGGTGGACCTTTATGCAAAACAAACAACACAATACAATAATTATTGTTATTTACAATAATTTAAAAGGGGTTATTAAGAAAGATGTTAAAAATAGCAATCATAAAAATGCTTACAAAGAGGAGTCTTTGGTGTAACAGATTCATCAGATTTCAGGGATTTGCTTATGCCAAATTGGTTCTCTGCTGTAACCTTGAAGTGATATTCAACATTTTCCTTCAGTCCCTTGACCACAAGGGATGTATCGACCACACGTGAGTCAACAGTATACCAAGCTGCTTTAGGCACCTCTCGCCTCTCCACAATGTAACCAAAGATATCAGAGCCTCCATCATCTGAGGGTGGTCTCCAACTCACTCTGACTGAACGTGCCTGAATATCATCAAATTCAAGAGGACCCTCAGGTGGATCTGGGCGCCCAATAACTTTAACCTTAATATAGACAGCCTTCTTTCCACATTTGTTTTCCAACACAAGGTCATAGGTGCCAGTGTCGTCTCTGTGGGCTTCCTTAATCACAAGCTCAGTACGTTCTTCACTGGTTGCAATCATAGCTCTGTGAGAATTGTCACGACCTTCCTTTGTCCACTTGCATGTTGGGAAGGGTTTGCCCTTGATGGGCACAGATAGCCTGATGACACCACCTTGTCTGACAACATAGCCTTCCTGGTAGATTTTATCCAGCTCAAAATCAGGATATTCTGAAAACAAAATACAGTTTTTACAAAATAAGTATGTACTGCCATATACATCTATGACAGAATGATATATATATTCTTATTATCATTATTATGTATTTAATCTTACCAAGCATTTCTGTAACTTTGACCACTCCTGGAATCTCAGCTGGTTCTCCAGCTCCACCAGCATTACATGCCATCACACGGAACTTGTATTCAGCTCCCTGAGGCATGTGTGTCAGAGTGTATTCACAAATCTTTGTTGGTGTTGTGTTGCATTTTGTCCATTCAACCTGGTCAACCTTCTGCATCTCAATTAGATAACCAGTTATAGTGGCACCTCCCTCTTCCTCCGGAGGACACCAAGCAAGTGAAACTGATGTTCTTGTGGTATCTGTGACTCTTGGGTTCAGTGGAATACCAGGAGGCTCTGTTTAAGAGGAAAATTGAACACGTTGGTCATGTTTGTTCTACTGACAATTTGATTTACTTATATATATCCTTCGTACATACCGATAGGATCCATTGCAATAGTTGGTTTAGAGTTTGCACTTGGTTTTCCAGAGCCTCTAGAGTTGATTGCTGTAACTCTATATTCATATTCAAGACCCTCTATAAGTCCTGTGGCTCTGTATCTTGTCATGGTCACTGTATTCTTATTTATACGAATCCATCTGTCAGATCCAGCCTCTTTTCGCTCAATGATGTAGCCAGCGATAGTAGAACCACCATTATCCTCGGGTGGTGACCAAGTAAGTGTCATGCCATCATGAGACACATCAAGTATCTCAGGTGTGCTGGGTGCTCCAGGTACAGCTAGAAAAGAAAGAGATTAATTCAATACATTTATTTTTTAAATAAATTAAATCCAAATAGGTATAGAAAACATCAGAGGTAGAAAAAACATACTTTTGGCACTCTTGCACTCAACAACTTCAGATTGCAAGAACCCGCCAATACCAAAACGATTTGTTGCAGCAACACGGAATACATATTCAGTTCCTTCCGCAAGTCTTGTAAATTTGAACATGGGTCTTGTGACAGATTCAGACACTGGCATCCATCCAGGTCGATGCGCATCCCGCTGCTCAACAATGTAACCACTGACATTCGCACCTCCATCTTTCAGTGGTGGTTCCCAGCTGCAGGTCACTGATATGGCATCAACCTCATCAATTTTCATAGGCCCAACAGGTACTCCAGGTTTGTCTAGGGATGAAATACATCGGGTAAATTTAAAAAACACTTTATATGTAGCTACAAAAAACTGTAGGGAAAAGTAAATTATTTCTCACCAAGAATGATAACTTTGACGACCTCAGTTGCTGTTCCAGTGACATTTTTCACTTCAAGAGTGTAGTCACCAGTATCATCAATTGTGGTTTCACGGACTGTCAGCTTAGTAAATTTAGCAGTTGTCTCAATCTTGATGCGGTCAAGCTTGTCCTTTATCTTGACTCCACCAAAGAACCATGAACACACTGGTGCAGGTCTACCTTTAATGGGAATGTTGAGCACAATTGGCTTACCAGCTGGCACATTGACAATCTTTTGTGGGATGCCAGTCAAGTCAATCTTTGGCATGACTGTAATGAAAAGAGAAATAACAATAATGAAAGTTTGAAACAAACAATAAATAATATAAAACATTTATTAATTACTGCTTTCCTCATATTATACAGTAGTTTTTAATGATATCTTACCTTTCTGTTCCTGTATTGTTACAGGTGTCATGAGATCTCTGGGCTCACTGACACCTCTGCTATTTTCAGCTCTGATTCTGAAGAGATATTGCTCATTTTCATTCAGTGAGACAATTGTGTGCTGTAGCACAGATGGTTTTGCACTAGCGACATTCATCCAGCGGTCACTTTCAGTTTTGCAGGCTTCAATAACATAGCCAGAAAGTCTGCTGCCACCATCATGAATTGGTTTTTCCCATCCAAGAATGACAGTAGATTTTGTGGTATCAATTACATACAGATCTTGAGGAACAGATGGAACTTCACAAACCAATACTGGATCAGTAATTTCACAAGGTTCTCCAATACCATATATGTTCTCAGGCAATACCCTAAATAAGTACTGTGTTCCTTCTTCCAGTCCAGTGATTCTGTATAATGTCTTCTTGCATTCTGTTGTAACTGTTTTGTAAGATTTCATTGAAGCTTCACGCTTCTCAATTATGTAGTTGTTGATGTGAGCACCTCCATCAACAGTAGGCACATCCCATGTGATTACAACAGACTCTTTTGTGTAATCTTTAACATTTACTGCACCACATGGTCCAGGAGTATCTACAAGATAATTTTTAAACAGCTTTAAGCTTGTGTTGCTCTAAGTTACATATGGTTTATTTAATTTTAGTGAATGCACAGTATTCATTATTAATTGCAGAAATGTACTCACCATAAACCTTGACAAGAATGGTAACTATTTTCTTGCCAGATGGATTTTCTGCCTCAATTGTGTATTTTCCAGCATCGTAACGATGAACCTTCTCAACTATTAAAGTTGTAGTGTTTTCTGTAGTATCTATGATTCCACGGGATTGTAGGTCAATTCCAGGCTTTCTCCAGGTAACAACTGGTGCAGGTCTTCCAGTTGTAGTTACATGAAGACGTAAAGTGTTGCCAGCTCTGATGCAAACAGTCTTCTTCAGTTCATCAGGTAGCTCAATATCAGGAATTTCTGAGAGCATAGCAATAACAAATTTCATTCATTAAATCCACATCAAAAAACAGGCCTTTAGGAGCTTTAATAGCTTGATGGTGGCTAACTAACCATGTAGACTTTTTAAAAAATCTTACCGACTCTTTCTGAAGGTGCAGCCTCAATACTGCCTTCACTGAACTCTCCAGTACCCATAGCATTGACTGCAGCCACTCTGAAGCTGTACTTTTTGTTACTTGTCAGACCAGCTACTGTGTACTGAGTACTTGTCAGTATCTTCTGTGTGGCTCTATACCATTGCTCTGTTCCCTCCTCCAGAATTTCAACAACATAGCCTGTGACATCGGATCCACCATCATACATTGGTCGTGTCCATGTTATACTAATACTGTGCTTTGTGGTGTCTGTAACACGAGGAACTGATGGTGGAGCTGGGGTATCTGTAAAATTAGAAGGCAGGTTAGGCATGTTACTATTTTTCTGTGTTTAAGATTTTATTAAGGCATACAGGTCAGTGTTACTTACATGTTGGGTCTCTACAGTGAGCGTACTGAGATGCATCACTTGGAACACTGGTGCCAGCAGCATTGACAGCGGCAACACGGAACTGATAATCACTACCCTCAAGGAGACCAGTGATTTTGAGGCGTGTATCATAAATGGTGTAGGTTTTGTTCACTCTTGTCCATCTAACACTACTCTTCTCACGTTTATCCACAAGGTAGTTTTTGATTTCACTTCCGCCATCACTCTCTGGCTTCAGCCACTCAATAATGACATGTTCTTTTCCAATAGCAGTAATCTCTGGTGCTTCCGGAGGTGATGGAACAGCTATAATGTAAATTACAAACATATATTAATACATTATCCTTGTTACTGTAGGTAAACTATCATTATTAATGGAAACATACTTACAGTAAGCATTTCTTGCAATCACTGGTTCAGACTCTAAGGGTACACCAGGCCCATACTTATTTACACCTCTGACACGGAAAATGTACTCATTGTTCTTGATCAGTTTTGTGCTGACACAAGACAAAGACTTGCATTCAGCTTCCATGATGACCCAGTTGAGTCTGCTGGTCTCACGTCTTTCAACAATATAGTGAGTGACACGATCTCCACCATCCTCCATTGGCATCTTCCAGGAAACTGTGCATTTCTCTTCTGTGACCCTGCTAATTGTTATTGTACCCTCAGGTGGACCAGGTGTATCTTAAATATAAAAGATTTTCTCATGAAATATACAGCCAATAAAAGGTATTTTGAATGAAACAGTATGTGATTTATTCCATTCTTACCAAGTACTTTAACATTGACAGCAGCTGTTTTGATTCCACTTGCATTCTTCACGGTAAGGATGTATCTTCCAGTGTCATTTCTATTACATGACTTAATGATCGCCATCGCTCTTGTACTTGTGTATGTCAGTGAGTATTTCTCTCCGAGTTCCAGCTCCTTGTCACCCTTGGCCCAAAAAACCTTAGGCTCTGGTTTTCCACCAACAGCAGCATCAAGAACCAGGTCTGATTCTGCTCTAATAGTGATCGTCTCACCCACAAGTTTACTATCCAGCTCAGCCTTTGGTGGTGCTAAAATAAATAAATAAAATGCATTAACAGATATTCATAATAGTAGATATGTGTGTCTAAATATGCATAAATTAAGCAAACCATCTTACTATATTCATCTTTGCATGTGATAAGTCCTGTTGATTCAGATGGCATGCTGTGGACTCCAGCACCATTTCTGGCAATGACACGGAATTCATACTGCTCTCCCTCACTGAGTGATGTAATAGTAAAGAAGTTTTCTGTGATTGTAGTGTAGTTGCACTTCAACCAACGAGCTTCTTCATTATCACTTAATGCCTTGCGTTCAACCACATATCCAACAATCTTGCTGCCACCATCATTGAATGGTATAGACCATTTAATAGACACTGACGTCTTGGTTACATCATAAACCTCTGGTTTGCCAGGTGGATCTGAAAATGCAGACAAAAACACTTGATTAATATTAATTATCATGAATAAAAACAATACATATGAATGGCAGTAGAAAGTAACAAAAAAACCTACCAACTGGATTTAGAGCCAGTACTGGTCTTGATGGTTCACTTGCTTTACTCAAACCAGCGATGTTCATTGCATATACTCTGAACTGATACTCGAGGCCCTCAATAAGGTTAGAGACCTTGTAGTGACACTCAAGGCAAGGAATCTTGTTCTCCCTCACCCACAGAATGGTATTACGCTCCTTTTTCTCAATCCAGTATCCAGTTACTTGGCTTCCACCATCATGATATGGCACATCCCAGCGGATAGAAACAAAAAACCTTAGGCTCTGGTTTTCCACCAACAGCAGCATCAAGAACCAGGTCTGATTCTGCTCTAATAGTGATCGTCTCACCCACAAGTTTACTATCCAGCTCAGCCTTTGGTGGTGCTAAAATAAATAAATAAAATGCATTAACAGATATTCATAATAGTAGATATGTGTGTCTAAATATGCATCAATTAAGCAAACCATCTTACTATATTCATCTTTGCATGTGATAAGTCCTGTTGATTCAGATGGCATGCTCTGGACTCCAGCACCATTTCTGGCAATGACACGGAATTCATACTGCTCTCCCTCACTGAGTGATGTAATAGTAAAGAAGTTTTCTGTGATTGTAGTGTAGTTGCACTTCAACCAACGAGCTTCTTCATTATCACTTAATGCCTTGCGTTCAACCACATATCCAACAATTTTGCTGCCACCATCATTGAATGGTATAGACCATTTAATAGACACTGACGTCTTGGTTACATCATAAACCTCTGGTTTGCCAGGTGGATCTGAAAATGCAGACAAAAACACTTGATTAATATTAATTATCATGAATAAAAACAATACATATGAATGGCAGTAGAAAGTAACAAAAAAACCTACCAACTGGATTTAGAGCCAGTACTGGTCTTGATGGTTCACTTGCTTTACTCAAACCAGCGATGTTCATTGCATATACTCTGAACTGATACTCGAGGCCCTCAATAAGGTTAGAGACCTTGTAGTGACACTCAAGGCAAGGAATCTTGTTCTCCCTCACCCACAGAATGGTATTACGCTCCTTTTTCTCAATCCAGTATCCAGTTACTTGGCTTCCACCATCATGATATGGCACATCCCAGCGGATAGAAATTGCATTAGCAGACACTGAAACTACATCTGGGCGAGTTGGTGGGCTTGGTGAGACTGAAAACAGAAATTTAATACTTATCAGATTGAAAATAACAAAAATAAATACAGCAGTGTTCATGCTCTATTTCATCAAATCAATAAAGTTGTATAAAATATTAAATACTCACTGAATGGATGCTCAGCAACAATAGCTTGAGATTCAATAGACTTGCTAACACCAAACTTGTTCTCAGCACAGACTCTGAAAGTGTACTCCATGTACTTTGTGAGATGAGTTACTTTGATGGTGGTCCGTTTCACACTTGAATTCACAACCTGCCATTTTGTGGAGCCAGACTCACGTTTCTCAACAATATAATTGGTTATGTCTGTTCCACCATCATCTGCAGATTCTCCCCAAGTCAATACACAGGATTCTGATGATATTCCTGAAATTTCAACAGGTCCAGTTGGTGGGACTGGTCTACCAATGACATTGACAGTGACAGTGAATGTTTTTGATCCAGCTACATTTTCAAGTGTGAGATAGTACTTTCCACTGTCACCTCTCTTGGCATCCTTAACCAGTAGAGTTGTTCTGTCTTTAGAAATCTTAATCGACACTCTGTCTGTTTCTTTAAGTTTCATTTCTTCAAGCTTCCATGTTACCTTGGGGGCTGGTCTGCCACTGATTGGAATATCAATTGCAAAGGAATTTCCAGTTTTGCAAGTGATGAGCTGTTTATCTATACCACTGAGATCCGCTGTTGGCTCTATACGTGGCTCCTTTATAATGACAGAGGCTAGGGCATCTCGTGGCTGACTAATGCCAGCATCATTCTGAGCCTTAACACGGAACTCATATTCTGTGTTCTCAACCAAGCCTTCAAGAACCATTTTTAAAGATTTGGTTTGACCACCTACAACCCAGTGATCAGAACCCTTCTTTCTAGTCTCAACAATGTATCCAGTAATGCGGCTTCCACCATCATGCTCAGGCTTCATCCATACTAAACTGGCTGTTGAGGATGTAGTATCAATGACATCCAGTCGCTTAGGAGGTGCAGGTTCTTCTGTGGCTATAATAGGTTCCATCATTTCAAATGGCTCACCTTTGCCATACTGATTTTCAGCAATAACCCGGAAGAAATATGCTACACCAATATCAAGGTTGGCCACTCTTAATATTTGACGTGTACACTTTTCACTGACCTCTTGCCAACTTAACCGACTTGCCTCTCGCTTTTCAACAATGTAGTGATGAACACGTGCACCTCCATCATTGGATGGTGCATCCCACATGAGTGTCAGAGCACCTCTTGTTACATCCTTGAATGAGAGAGGTCCAGGAGGGCCAGGTGTGTCCAACACTTTGACTGTTAATGTAATGGCTTTACGACCACTGTTGTTTTCAAGAGAGAGTGTATACTTGCCAGCATCATACCTGGTGCAATTTTCAATTGTCAAAGTGCTGAATGTGTCTGTGGTATTAATATCCACCATTACACCAAGATCTCCATCTGCCTTTGTCCATGTGGCAAGTGGGGCTGGCTTTCCACAGAAGGGAATATGAAGTGTAACTGTTCCGCCGCTCTTCACAACATGTGTCTGCTTGAAGTTTGCATCTATATCAATTTCAGGTGAGGTCAGTCTATCAACTGCTTGAACTACATTTGGAGTCTCAGAGAATTCTCCCTTGCCAGCACCATTGACTGCACACACACGGAATTTATATTCTTCACCAGGTTCTAACTCTGTTACTGCGTAATGTGTGTGGATGCAAGTCTGGTTGTTGACTCTGTGCCATTCCTCGAGGCTTGCCTTGCACATCTCAATAATGTAACCAATGATTTCCATACCACCATCAAACACTGGTTTGGTCCATTCCAAGGTAACAGACATCTTGGTGGAATCAATTACCTTCACCAGAGTTGGAGCACTGGGTGCACTTGTTGGTTCTCTGCATTTGAACAATCTGGATGTACCACTTGCAGGTCCAATTCCAGCACCATTTTCAGCCATAACACGGAATTCATATTCATTTCCTTCTGTAAGGTTTGTTACTCTATGCCTAAGCTCAGATATTGGTCTCTTTGCAGAAACCTTCACCCATCTTAAGCTCTTCTTTTCTCGTCTTTCAAGAATATATTGCTTAATCTCATTTCCACCATCATGTCTCGGTCTTGTCCAGCATAGAGTGATACTGTTTCCTGTCACATGGGTGCAGTCAGGTGTTCCAGGAGCATCTGGTACCGCTGTGAGATATCAAAAATGTGTTAAAGTACAAAAAAATAACAGGTACTAAATTAACAAATGATTGGATCAAGAACAAATATTTTTACTTACTGTATTGCATCTGAGCAATGATTGGCTCAGACTCTAGTGGCTTGCCCACACCAAATTTATTGGCAGCAGATACACGGAACTGATATTCATTGCCTTTAATCAGTTTTGTGGCATTAAAGGAGCAGGCTTCACACTTGGATGTTACAAGTGCCCAAGAAATTCTGGAAGTCTCACGCTTCTCAATTACATAATTAGTGATAGGTGCACAACCATCATTTTCAGGTGGGCTCCACCAAAGAGTTGCTTTCTCTGCAGATATATTTGTGAAGCGGAGCGGGCCCTCAGGTGGTCCAGGGGTATCTGAATAACACAGAGTGAAAATAAGCAATGACCAAATCCAGAACAGCTTCATTAAAACGGAGTCAAAACTGATTTTAGATCATACCTTGTACTCTGACAAGAACATCCACTTTTGTTGTGCCTGAACTGTTCTTGGCCTCAACTGTGTAGATACCACGGTCATTGCGGTCAGCATCTCTGATGAACAGTGAGCTTGATCCAATAACAGTTGTGATGTCAACCAGCATTTTATCAACTTCCTTTCCATCTTTATACCATGTGACTTGAGGTACAGGGCGGCCACTTATACTGCAGTTGAGTTTAATATTTTCTCCTGCCTTGATGGTGAGGGTCTTCTCAGCTTCAAACTGAATCTCAGGGATAACTGAAAAGGGAAAAAAAGTTAGATTATTTAACATATTTAATATAGAACAATATCTATTGAATGATGCCTTTGTATGTACATACCACTTTCATCCTTGGTCATGATGTAGCCAGATGACTGAGAAGGTGGACTAACTGTTCCGACAGCATTCCTGGCAATTACCCTAAATTCAAAGCGATCACCAGCAGCAAGACCTGTTACAGTAAACTGACATTCGCTGATGTCAATGAAATTGCATCTCAACCAACGTGCTCTTCCTTGACGCCTTTCAACACTGTATGCCACAATCCTACTGCCTCCATCACGCTTCGGTGGTTCCCACTGAAGTGTTACAGAGTCTCTTGTAACATCAATGCAGTTAGGTGTGCCTGGAGGATCTAAAGAAGAAAAAATATATATTTTGAAGAAAAGAATAGAAAAGAAAAGAAGGAATTTTGGCAAAAAAGGTGAATACTGTAGAGCAATTAAAACCATAAGCAAATAAAAAAAGATTATCATAGACGAATATGACCATAAAGACAATACTAAGACTTACCAACAGGGGAGATTGCCAGTTTGTGCTTGCTCTGTTCACTGACTGGACTCATTCCAGCATTGTTTTGTGCATAAACTCTGAATGAATACTCCAGACCTTCAATAAGTCCAATGACTCTGTATTCTCTTCCAGAGATAACACTGGAATTCACTTTCATCCACAATAAGCTGTTCCTGTCTTTTTTCTCAAGATGATATCCAGTGATTGGAGAACCGCCATCAAATCCTGGGGCTTCCCACTGAACAGTCATGCCATCACTTGTAACATTGAATACTACAGGTTTTCCTGGTGAACCTGGTGGCTTGTATTGGTGTTGAGCAACCACATCTAATGAGGTTAGAGGCTCGCTCATTCCATATTTGTTCTCTGCACGCACCCTAAATTGGTATTCAGTACCCTTAACCAAATTTGGTATCTTGAATGTGGTCCTGACCACACTAGAGCAAATCATCTTCCATGCTGCTTGAGATTTCTCTCGCTTTTCTACACTATAGCAGGTGATCTCGCCTCCACCGTTGTCCTGGGGTTCATCCCATGAGATGATAATGCTCTGGGCTTTAATTTCATCAAAACGAATTGGACCTATAGGCTGAGAGGGTGGCCCAAGTGTAATGACTTTAATGTCAAAGAAGTTCTTGACAAGTTTACTATCAAGGACCAAGGTGTATTTTCCTGCATTCTCCTTTCTAGCATTTCTTACAATGAGATTTGCCTTGTTCTCTGTTTGCCTGAAACGAACTTGTTCACTTTCCTTGAGTGGCATGTCATCTTTCATCCACTGAATCGTTGGTTTAGGTTTACCCTTGTAGGGCAAATCAATATTCACATTTTGTCCAATGCGAACACTTAATTCTGAATTAGGATAGTCAATAAGGTTTGCCTCAGGTGGTATAAGGAGTTCCTTTACAGTGATGGGTCCAATTTGAGAGAAGTCACTGCGACCCTTCTCATTTTTTGCGAATACTCTAAAGTAAACTTCTGAAAGTTCTTTAAGGTGAGTTACCTCATACTGGCAACGCCTGCATGTACCACCAATGCTCCAAGCTTCCTCTTCTTTTGTTTTCTTCTCAATAATGTACTCAGAAATGTGACTGCCACCATCATGATCAGGCTTTGTCCACGCCAACGATACAGATGTATTAGTTGAGTCCACCAGTACAAGGCCTTTTACAGCACCAGGCATCTCGGTTGCTCTTACAGGCTGTGCAGTCTCACAAGGATCACCAAGACCATATTCATTTTCAGCAGAAACACGGAAGAAATAGTAAATTTCTTCAGACAGACCATCAACCCTGTAGGTTGTATTGGCACATTCATTTGTCACAATGGTGAATGCCTTCATCTTAGCATCCTTCTTTTCAACAACGTAGTTTGTGATTGGAGAGCCACCATCTATATAGGGTGGTTCCCAGCTCAAGGTGAGTTTACCTCGTGTCACATTCTTCACTATCAACCTATTACAAGCAGATGGTGTGTCTAATACTTTAACAGACACTGTGATGGTTTTCGGCTCTCCAACCCCATTTTCAATTTCAAGAAGATATTTGCCAGTGTCATCCCTTGTGACCTTTGGAATTATGAGTGTAGTTGAGTATTCTGTGTTTCTGATGGCATATCTTGCATCACCACTAATGTTTTTGTCTCCCTTTCTCCATGTTACATTTGGAGTAGGTCTACCCTTAAGAGGGATTACAATCTCCACATCTCTACCAGCCTTTGCTATGTACTGAGTTGACATTGAGATGTCAAGATCCACATCCGCCTCCTCTGTTAAAATTAAGGAGAAACATATTTGATCAGATTCACAGTATCATAATTAAACAATTTCTTTATTGTTTTAGACAGTTGGAAAATACAAACCCAGAATATCTTTGGCTTGCATTGGCTGCACCATCTCAATTGAATGTCCAGTTCCAACACAATTAACAGCAGAGACACGGAAGAAGTAGTACACTCCAGGTTTCAAGTGGGACACTACAAACTCAGTTGTTCTTACTTCTCCTTTAGAACTTATAGTGCCCCATTCGGTCTCATCTGCCATTCTTTGTTCAACAACATAACTTGTAATTTCGCTGCCACCATCATAGACAGGCTTGACCCATCCAAGGGTAATAGATGTCTTTGTTGAATCAACAACTCTGAGCTTGGTTGGCTCACTTGGTGGATCTAAAATAACAATTAAGAGTTTATAAGAAATTCTGTTTTAAATATCAATGCACACTGTGCACAAATTTATATCCACATTCTGGAAAATAAAGCAATAAAAAGAAATCACAAAATAAGCTCACCAATTGGGTCATAAGCTTTGTAAAAGATGGACACATCAGAATATGGGCCTGCTCCAGCTTTGTTGATTGCACAGACACGATACTGAAATTCATTTCCTTCTGTGAGGTTGCTGACTTTCTGTCTGGTATCACGAATTGGATCTTTAATAACCTTGAACCACTGTAGACTTTTCTTCTCCCTCTTCTCTAAGTAATATCCATCAATGTCACTGCCACCATCTAAACTTGGTCTTTCCCATACCACAGTCATTGTTGACCTGGTAATCATTGTGACTTGGGGTTTAGAAGGCCGACTAGGAGGAACTATGGGGGAAAAATGAAGCATTAAATTACATTAGATAACATATTTAATAATAATAATAACAATAATAATAAAATCATTTTTATTATTAAAAATTCTCCTTACCAAAGGAATTCTGTGCAATTACTGGTCTA